AGATGTCGCCCTCTGCTGGTATCTATCTGAAACTGCACAAGTCAAACGAAACCAAAGGTGTAGGAAAGTTGAAGGCGCGAGAAAAAAGAGATCTATTTAATTATGAAGTGTAATAACAGAGGAGTCAAATCTCCTCACACACTGAAAGTAACTCTTGTCTTTGTTTTATGCTGCTAATCTCTGACTTCAAAAGACAAAAGCTGACCCATATGGTCTTGAGTTGCTGCCAATGTCCTGACTTAACCATGATTACATCCCTGGAGAGTTTCTTTATGAGGAAATCTGCTGACCTCTCATGAGGATCCACACCCTTTGCCACAAGAGTTGGCTTTAGCTCTCAACACGCTTCATGTCAGACCTAAATAGAAGTCACCAGCCAGCTGATGTCATGTGCGGAGGCAGAGCCAGTCAGTGTGTTTAGATGGAGAAGTGGGTTTACTGGATATGCTATTATATGTTGAGTTTCGCCATGAGCTCTTTATGCTTTGATATAGGACTCTAATTAAATCCATTAAATATTGTGCTTTTTGTTTTGTTTTGTCTATTTTACTTTATCATCTACATGTTTATTCTTTTGTAGTTGAATAGTAGTATATGTCTGTGACTATTTGATTGAATCTTTTCATATATGACTATCATCAGTAATACATCTTGTCAACTATTTCTCTTAGCTTCTATTTCCTTTTTCTAACTCCCTTTAAATGAAGAGGTCATGGCTAAATTACTGGCATGTCCTTGGCTAATCGATGCAGTCACTAAGGTTCCTAAAGCATAAATCTGTTGCCACAACAAGAAGTGAAGGTGCACAGCTAAGGACACTGCAAAATTGTGCATGGAGAAACAATCTTTTACCATCATGCCTTAACTTCTAAGTAGCACATCACATGGTTTGTAGAATTATATAAGGCTCAAAACAGGGGCATCTGTTTTACCAGAACTAACATCCCGTTCAAGGCCATGAAATGCAGAACCCAGTGTGCTTCATAGCAAAGAAAGCTTTTTTTTTAAAAGTCCTCTAAATCCCTGTTAAGCCCTAGTCTTTATTCATAGTCAAGCAAATGCTTGGTGACTCACTCTCTGACACACCCAAACACACAAAATCCACTTTAATCATTTTGTGATTGAGTATAGTCATATATGTACACCTGATGCTGTTTGACTAGCAGTTTGCACCCTTCTACATGGATGTCACAGAAGAGTAAATTCAGGTTTCAGGATGTACGCTTACTTCTTTTCCATTTTACTCCACACATAAACTGCACTAACATTAACACTGGACCAAGACATCTTTGAACTTTAGTAGTAATCTCCTATTGTCTTAATAAACTACAGAAAGAGTTGGTGAATAGTAGTAGTAGTAGTACTTTGCAGCAATGCTCCATACCTAGTGATCATGGAGTGTGGCAAGAGCGTGCAACATGCTTTACAGTTTCCACCTACAGAGAGCAATGTAGCAGCATGTTTTGACCTTGGCGATTTACTGTTTGCTGACAGTAAATTTCAAGTTTATTCCACAACTGTTCTCTTTTCTACTGAGGCATTCATTAATGATTGTTTGTTTAACGTATCTGCCCATTCACTGTAAATCAATTTTGAGTGAGAGCTAGATCCAAATTTAGGCAGCCAGATCTGTCTCAGATAATTTGATTTACAGACATGCTAACCAAAGGTATCAATTATGGCTCTGACATAAGTGGCTTCTCAAAACTGTACACTGACACACTTGTTTTAGACACTTGTTAAGCAGCACCTGTCTGTGAATCTACTGCAACATCTGGGTGATAGCTTTAGATTCTAGTGAAGCAGACACTATAATGTGGTAAGATGCTGGGCTAATGTGTTTCTCTTCATAGAGGATATTGTATATTTATATACCTGCCTCAGTCTAATGACACACTAACAGAACTGTATGAACCACACTGCATGCAGCACATCGCGTAGTTCACTGATGTTTTTCACATGTGAATCCTTAATATATTTTCAGCTCAGTCAGACACCATTGTGTCCTTGATCCAACAAATGTAGTTGCAAACTTTTGTGTACACTCCAGGCTTATTTCTCAGAGCACAGCCATGACCCCAAGAGACAACACGCTGGAGCTCTCCATTACACATCATGGGGCCCCCAGAGTCCCCCTAAGGATAAAAAAAAGATGAGGTTATAGCAAGAGGCAGAAACACTGTCTGATTTGTGTTACAGCAAGCAGGACCTGTATATCACCTGACAGGAGTCCGTCCCTCCTTCCAGAAAGCCAGAGCAGATCATGTTTTCAGTGATTTTGAAAGGATATGCATTAAAGCACGTGTCATCGCTCAGGAGAGGGGTATCCAGGCACTGTAAACCTTCTCTGGGTACCTCACTTGACAAGACAGAAAAAAAAATATGCATCAATGTTTTTATGTTCAGTAATAGTGTGAAAAAGTGACTGGAAAAAACATGAATGTATCCAGCATGTAACTCACAGCCCTCATCACTGGGACAAAGAGATCTGGCACATTGTCCCATCACTGGCATACTTAGAAGTGCTGCAGGGCGTACAAGGCTGTTCAAAGTGGCAGGTCGACTCGATCAGCATGAGATCACTGTCCTGCATGAGGGAGTTGTAGTCAGGGTGGTGGATAAACTTAGCAGACAAAATGTGCTGTCCAGTCCCTTCGGGTTCCCAAATGTCATGCTCTTCCAGCCGGACTTCTACATTTGACCTCAAACAATTAAACACATGACATTTAGGTAAATCCACCCTAAAGCCTTGCATTAAGGGAATAGTGTCAAGTGACCAAAAAGAGGTGATTTTACATGTTCAGGCACACCATACCTCTATCGGTTTTAATCAGTTGTTCAGAGTTTGTTTACCTGTGAAAAGAGAGAAAGGATAAGTGATCATCTTTCTTACTTTGGTTTGCAGTGTGCACCAGAGAGCACCCACTCATCAGACAGAAGAGTCCCACCACAGAAGCTGTACCCAGTGAAGAAAAACACTTGCTAGGGCAGAGTTCTTCGGGCACTCATACCCACCAACAATCTTGTCATTCTCCTCCATGGCAACTGTTCTATACACATTAAAAGTGTGAAAAACAGAACATTCTGTTCATGATTTACTGAGTGGGTACAGAAAGTATTCAGACCCCCTAAAATTTTTCACTCTTTGTTATATTGCAGCCATATGCTAAAATCATTTAAGTTTATTTTTTTTCCTCATTAATGTACACACAGCACCCCATATTGACAGAAAAACACAGAATTTGACATTTTTGCTGATTTATTAAAAAAGAAAAACTGAAATATCACATGGTCATAAGTATTCAGACCCTTTGCTCAGTATTTAGTAGAAGCACCCTTTTGAGCTAATACAGCCATGAGTCTTTTGGGGAACTGTCAGGTTTGCCCGGCTGCACCTACTTTCTCACTCCCCTCACTCTGTTTTCACTCCCTTACCCTCATTACGTTATCGTGACTTGCTGAAGCATTTCTTTCTTCACCGGGTCACTTTAGTTAATAGTATTAACACATCATTTTGACATGTTGACGTTATTTTTTGTACAGCTGGGGCCATTTCCACAATTTAAATGTAGTTACATGCTAAAAGAAAAAGTGAAGCCAAACCTTATATGACAGTTTCTTCATACAGTCCTGGTTCTTCATATCATTCAGGTTTAGGGTTGAAATACGTGAAGTAATTCAGCACTGTCACTAATTCACTGCAAAACCACATAGCATGGATGAGGCAATGCTTCAGAGTAAAGACGTACTGAGAGGTGTTTATCAGCGCCTGAGAGGAAAACACTTAAATGTGTAGGTACATCTGAACAAACCTTAGAATTATATACTTAAGAGAAAAATACAATACACTCCTATACAGCACAATTTAGATTGTAACAAATGCAACGAGTTCCTGAGGTAACTGCGCAAAAGGTGAAAATGCCTTTCACACGTGATACGCAAGTGTCTGTTTAGTTGTGCATTTGCAAAACAGCATTCAAGGTGTGATAAGTTAGGTGAATTATTTTGCTGTCCTTGCAAAATAAAACTACCACCGTCTTCACCACAGTAATTTTTTTCCCAGCATTAGCCTCCCTAACCTTTCGTTAGAATATGTTTATTTCATCTCGCATCTGTGTGTTTAAGCAGTTCCAGGTCCCCTAAAGGCAATCAATCCACTGTACCTCGAAGTCCCCTCGGACAGACAGAGAGAGCACTGTGTCAGAGATGTGCAAGACTTCTACAATGTCAGGCTTGTTGAGACAGAGTCCAAGCTGATTATTCATATCCTTTAGGTTTGCTGAGGGGAACCGAATTTTGTGGTTGGAAGTAGGGACAAATGTACGGAAGTGGTTTAAGTTACAGAGGTTCAGATTTTTTCCCTGTGTGTGGTGTATTATGTGGAGGGAAAAAATGTCACAGAACCCAAACTGTTGGCACTGTTTTGACTTGAAAAACAAAATTGGTGACCTCTCCACACCCGTGAGACAGAGGGTTTGATTTCCAGTCAGCACCACAACAAGATCAACAAACCTTTGGGGCTTCAGTACACAGCAGATTCCCACTATTTGTACCTCTTTGACAGCATTACTGCAATCCAGAAGTTATGGTACAACACTTGGCGTACCACTGTTTCACTCTGCCCCCCTGCACAAAGAGTTGTGGATTTAGATACACCATGAGCTCACAGTGTTTTGCACAGTGAGTGAAAAATACAGGGTGTATAACTCTGATGCTGGGAGCTGAAGTATGTCATTACTACTTCATTGTCCCCCACACAAAACACACTCACATCCATACATTTTATTGGTGTCCTTCGTGCTACACACACACCCTCCCAGCTGCTGCAGTGAATAATAAACCCCCAAACTCCAAATGCATTTTATCACCCACTGCTAAAACTGAAGTCCCTTTAACCCTCCACTAGTTGTTTTACACAGCAAAATTGGTATTTGTATGGCACACACATAATTGTAGGTTTGCTCGGTAAATCAAGAACTGTGGCAAGCCCTGGGCTCTGAAGACTTTCCTCAAACTATAGCCTTGGGATAGCTATTAATATCCCCTGCAGACACCAGTAAAATGCTGTGCCGTTAAGTTCTGTTACAAGATTCTACAGGAAAAATGTTAAAAAACACACATTTTAGCCCAAAAATGAAAACTGTTGGATGCATTGCTCAAGAGGATCACGACCAAATAAAACAGCATAGTCATTCTGTCTAGACTTTAGCTAAAACAGACATTAGACATTACACATGGAGCTGAACAGTACAGTGTAGTTTTTAGGAGGGAAGAAGAAGTTAACTAGGTCAGTTTCTTTTAAACTGTTTCCTGTAGTTAGAGTGAATTGTTTTTGGACCTGGTTTAAGATGAAGATCAGATGCTGAATATTTATGTATAAAAAAGGCAACAATAACTGAAACATGAGTCCTCCTACACAATCAAATACGGGTGTTGGTCCGAACTCATGCAGAGGCAGAGAGCATGTACACACACACTTGGTCATACATGTAGTAGTTCTCAAGCTTTCATTCTCACTCACTCTTCCCCCTCTTTCTTCCTCCCCCTCACATCTGGACATCTGGCAGAGTAAAGTTCCTGTGTGGTGTGTGTGCACATTAGCAGGGGACTTGGTTTTAGGGTTGGGCAGGTAGAAGCAGCTTACACTGTGCAAATCTGATCCATTCAAGACCTTCATTGTGTTTTACAATGTGAACAAGTTAGACCATCACTACCATCACGAAGATGCTTCTTTGTCTGACTGTTTGAATTGCTAGCATCATTGTGACCTCAGAGTTTCTTATACCCCCTACTCCAATGTTGTAAATATTTATTATTGAAAGGAAAAATGTAGCCTTTGCTATTTTTGATGGGAAATATGGGGGTTAGTTTCACAAAACTTAGCTAGTTTGAATTTAGCACCTTCTTTAGCACCTACTTTAACTAAGGTGTTTAAACTGTAAATGTCAAAAACTTTTGAATATTTAATTAATCATATTACTGCAAACAAATATTGTCAACTGACAAAGTTTGCTTGTCCTTGAGATTCTGTCCCACGATGTCAACCTGGGCCATGTTATCAGGACTAATCTTGCATAATCTCATTTTTGCTCTAACATCAACATTTTTACAAGGGAAACGTGAACACAAATAACTGCAACTAATGAAACAAATGTGTGGTCATTTTCCACAAAAATTCAGCAAAAGTTGTGTAGGCAGTGGAGTGACAAAATCAATAGTAAAAAGGAAACACATGGGAGGAAGTGTGCCATGAAGTCCGTGAAGTCAAACATTTCTCATGTATTTCCAACCCTAGGACTCTGTTCCGCTTTTATGAATATATTTCCAATATTAGTCTCTCCCTGCTGTGAAACATTTCTTTATTAAGTAAATATCATTATAATTTAATCCATATGTGATACATCTGTCAAGGTCTTGGGATAAATTTCAGTTTCAGGAACTTTGTGCACTTGATGTGATAGAAACAGCAAGAATGTGCCAGGTAGGTTTAAAACGATGAAAGTGCTTAGCTTAGATCTGCTTCAGGATAGATATATGAATTTGTTTATGTTTTAAGGTTGTAATCAAGTCTGTGGTTATTTGGTGGTGTAGCTGTCAAATAGCCTACATCAGGAATGTATGATTAGGTGTAATCAGATAAAATTCTTCTCTAATTCTCTAAAATTCTTCTCTAACACATCATAGATAGCACCCCAGAAGTGTTTCGAAAGAGTGATCTGAATTAGAGTGAAAAACAGGATGCTGAAAAAGAGGCACGACAGATAACTTAGAATTGTGAGCTTGCCCTAATTAATACTAATTCCAGAAATGTGCTGCAAAATACTACAAATCTATTTTTATTGCAGGTTTTGGATCTACAGCAGTACCTCGGCTGTGTCTAGTTTCAAGTGGACAGTGGCAAAGAGGAAGTAACTAAAACTCTTTTGTATTATTGTTGCTGGTGCAAGGTGAAATGAGGGGACATAAAAAAGGAACCTACATATCCAGGATGTGACTTCAAATGATCAACACAGGGCAGTTACACCTAACCTCAACCACACTGAGAAAAACACATTACACAACAGTCTCACTGGGGCACTGGTAATCTCAGGTAATCATCTCATCAACCCACACTTTATAAATTTAGGTGTTTGTTTACTTGGTCTTCTCACTTTGGAATTTCCCATAAGATAAAAGCTCTATCATGTGGCATCTGAAGCAGAGAGAAACTTAGAGTGAGACTTCTTGGAGATGCTAGTCAGATAACATCATAAGCATAACCTTGTAAGTCCAGGGGGCAAACTTAACGTCTGTATATTATATACACATAAAACATCCGCATAGTGCATGCATCTTTGTAATCTATCGCTGAAGCCAAAATAGTTTTGTTATATCTTTAATATTGGATACAGGAGAAGCAATGGTCTTCAAAGGAGGGGCCTGGGTGGTGCCTAGTGCAGGCGATGACGTCACATTTTTAAGGAGTCAGGGATCTGAGCTCCAAAATTTCCACCTCCTATCAGTTGCTTTTGCAGCAGACACGTCCTCGTCGGACCAAAGCTTTCCCAAAGGTACTGCATCTTTGCTATTTTCAGAAACCTTAACTCAGTCACTCTGATAAAACAATCACATATAGTTTAAATAAAACGCATAGCAAACACCTTTATCTGGCATTTCAACCACTTCGTTTCAGTTATTGCTTCCTAAGTAGACAGGTCTTTATCAAGACAGTTCAGAGTCATGATGCTAATTAAGCCTGCATGTCTACAGTAGGATGGATAGGCGACTTGGGAGCTGTGGCGTTTAGTAGAGTGATTTTGTTTTCTGACTGAGCATAAGCTTGTAAAATATCTACTCATCAAATTCTGTTTCCGTTTTACTTATTGATGTGTGCGCTTTTGCGTGTTGCACAAGGCTTGTGGAGAAAACGTTTTGTATTTCCAGGTATTACTATTCAGCCTCTAAACTGTATTACAACTGTCTTCAAACTTTCTTCAAGCCAAGATTGGACTTATCCGTTCAATTCATTTGTTTGATTCAGTGTGGAAAACAAAGAAACGTTAAAGATGTATCGGGATTTTTTTTAGCTACAAAAAAGAAAAATGTTTTCTTGTTCTCTAATTAAATCATGCAATCTAATAAACAAGAACCAAAAACAAAACAAAATAGTATTAGTAGGCCTATTGTTGTTATTTTTGGCTTTCGTTCACTGTGCGCATGTTGGGCACATCAAACTTGGCTGAAACAACAGCGACGGTCACGCTAGGAAGTCAAGTGTATTAATGACTGAGGAACAAACCCAGGGTCTCACCTTTGGTTGTCCAGAATAACACTGAAAACTTCCAGCTGTGCCTCGTAGACCTAGCCAACTTGTACCATACAGTAACTTCTATTTTTTTATCCACCGCACATGCGCAGGCAGTGAACGTGTGGCAGCTCGCGGGAGCGCGCAGAGCGAAAAGTGGAAAGCTTTCATCAGTGATCTGAGTTCCAAAATTTCCACCTCCTAATCAGTTGCTTTTGCAGCTGACACCCCCACCCCCGCCCCGGTGAGGAACAGTCATAAACAAAGCTAAATCTGTAGTGCATTTCTAGAACCTATCATTTAGATTATTGAGATTGTAATAAAACATTAATCTCTTGTCTGTTTTCCTATCAGCATTCATTTCTGTTTTTGTTGCAGGTTCTAAGACAATGATGGAGCTAATGACCACGACCCCTTTCTATAGCATCATCAATGCAACAGATTTTACTGGAAGAAATGGCTCTTTGTATAAGGACGATGAAGAGTATGACTACAAGGATGATCTTGCTGAGCTGAGGCAGTCTCTCAACATCATGTCTCTCATTGTTTACAGCCTGGCCTTTGTTCTCGGTGTGCTGGGGAATGGAGTGGTTATCTGGGTGACCGGGTTCAAGATGAAGAAAACAGTTAACACTATTTGGTTCCTCAACCTTGCGTGTCTGTGGTTTGGCCTGTCTGGGCTCAGAACCACCGAAATGTACGCAAAGCATCACAGCTTTGGATTTCCACTGGCCTTTCGGCAAGTTCATGTGCAAACTCAACAGCACCATAAGCTTTCTAAACATGTTTGCCAGTGTCTACATCCTGGTTGTCATCAGTGTGGACAGATGTGTGTCTGTGGTTTGGCCTGTCTGGGCCCAGAACCACCGAAATGTACGCAAAGCATCCTGTGTGAGTCTGGGTGTGTGGGTCCTGGCTCTGATTCTCAGTGCTCCATACTTCATCTTCAAAGACACTGCAACATCATTTTACAATAAAGACATCATCAACTGCTACACCAACTATGCTCTTTCTGATGACTATGAAAGCTTGTCTGTGAATCAGCTGAGACGGTTTCGCCATAAGGTCATGGCAATCACCCGCTTCCTCCTGGGATTTGTTGTCCCCTTCACTGTCATCGTGTCCTGTTATGCTGTGATAGTCCATCGCCTCAGGAGGAGCCGCACCCTGGCCAGCCAGTCAAGTCGCTCTTTCAAGATCATTGCTGCTGTTATCGCCACTTTTTTCCTGTGCTGGGCTCCTTATCACATCATGGGTCTGATTGAGATGGTGAATCACACAGCTGTTCATCCAAGTGAAACACTGCACCATGTGACCACTATCGGGGTCCCCATAGCCACCAGCCTGGCCTTTCTCAACAGCTGCCTCAACCCACTGCTGTATGTGTTTATGGGCCAAGATTTCAAGGACAAAGTCCGCAAATCCATTCTGAATGTACTGGAGAATGCCTTCCAGGAAGAGGTTTCTCGGTCCTATACCTACACAAATTCGGTGGTCACCATTCGAAGTAAAGACAAGTGGGGACAACAAGGGGACAACAAGGATGACGAGAGCTGTGTAATCAACAACAATGACCACGCAATTAACTGTTTGCCAGACAGGAACAAGGATGTCACGAATAACTCAGCTTGTTTAAAGTGGCCTAGAACATGGTTAAAGACGAAGACAATGAGTTATGACATTTCTGATACTGAGGTTTAAGGTTGACCATAACATGAATAAAAAAGTATGAATAAACAAATATACTAACTGTATATAGCTAATAACTTCTTTTGTTGCTTTTTCATTCAGTGGCTCTGAATAATAAACTGAAGCATTTTACCTGTTAAAGTTGGGTAGATATGAGAATTATAATTGCCTGACTGGTCTGATCTTAAAATAATCAGGTTCTGGCGCTTTGTAGAGCTGAGTGATGGTAATCTTTTACACAAATTGTAAATTAATTTGCCATGTATTTGTGGGCTAAAACATCATGACATGAAGGAAAAGTGATTATTCTTTTATAAAATAGTTTGTTTATATAGCATTTACCAAAACCAGTGTTTTACAAAGGAAGACTTGCACTACACTTGTAAGTTGCATACAGTAGCTATTTCACACACACTCAAAGAAATGCGTATACACACATACATAGAGAACTTTACACAGACGGAATAATCTCTAGTGCAAGTGTTGTACACTCATTGTTTGCGTAGGAATGGCCCGTTATGCCACATAATTTCAGAATAAGTATTGCACCCTTTTTTTTTTGTCTAAGCTGCACAAGTAGGATTATAGTAAGATCATTTCCCAACATCCCATCCCCTTGAAACCCAACCCAACCATTATATGTGTACTTGACAGAACTGGCAGCATGATAGCGAGAGAGTGGCAGCACCACAGAAACTGACCGATCTGACTTTTGATTGCTACATGTTTATTGCATGCTCGTATAAACATGTTATTCCTCATGAGGACGGGCTAATGTAAGCCCATATGATACTGACAATGACATTATTCTTATAGTAACAGCTGGATTGTAGACGTAGCTTAATTTTGTATTTTTAATGTATGTCTCCACTGATTACCTAAAGATTATTTTCATTACCAATTAACTGGACTTTTTTTTTTACTTTTCAGCTTGCCAGACATCAAATTGTTGATTTTCTCCAGAGTCAAAAACCCACCAGCATTCAGGTTGCTAAATATTTAAATTTTAGAAGCTACAACTAGTGAAGTGGCAAAAAAAAACAAAAGCCATCAGTTATCAAAATCATTTGTGGTTAATTGTCTGTCCACTGCATAATTGAATTTTTTTCTATGTAATGTATCCTTTTGGTTTATGTGGCATTTTATGGTATAACATGAACCTCTCTATAAAAGCTTTTTTTTTCCTGATGGAAAAAAATGTAAAAGATAATTTGCTATTTTTGTACTATAAGAGGCCATAAATGATGATAATGATGATTGCTGTTACTGACATTCTTGTTGTTACCATTATTTCCATTATTAAAGTATTATTTTGGCTTCCATTTTTTCACTCATACTGTTCATCTCAGAATCACATCATATCTTCACAAACACCATGCCTGGAATCTCCTTCACTAGTATCAGGCAGTTATGAATATATGTATATAGTATATGGATGGAGTAACACAGTATGTGTATCTGTCACATTCACATCTCATGATATTTTATCATAACTAACAAGGAGCTATTCACAAAATGCACATTTTAATGTCCTTCATCCTCATTATTAACATTTGACCAGTGGAGGGAGCTGTTTTGTATGTCAGGTATTTGTCAGATGCAGGATAGTAGCGTTCAGAGGGACTGCACTGGAGCACAGTGCAAACAGTGATAGATCTGTGTGCCCTACTACTGACTGAAAGTCAAAGTGCACCGTCTGTTTTTGTGCCAAGGTCAGTTGAAAATCATATCCTATTAATCTGATGACCTAACTTTTATAATGATGTTGTCAATTAGTGAAATAATTTGGACATTTGTCTTGTTTATATCCCTTTATAAGATTTCACAGTATCATTTGGAAGAAGTATGGAAAGCTATTTTGTAATCCTCCATCATTTGTTTTATGGTGTTGTTTGATATGATCTTAAAGTCATTTATGCAGCAGTAAAGAGAGTGAGTGAACAGGGGGATGTTTCAATCAATGCACAGCTGTAGAGGGAGATCCAGCTTGTTACTGGCTCCAGTAAAATTACAAAAGGCTGCATTTCAAGCTCTGTCCTTTAAATAATACCAAGCTGTGGCTTGGCTAATTTTCAATTTAACTCTGATGTGCATGCTCTGCCTCCATATGGGGTCACAAAATAAAAAGCTAAACCTTATGAATACACAGACATGGTGGTATGGTGTAGCCTACATTTTACTTTTGTGATATGGGCTAATGTGATTTGTTTGAGTGATGACTGGTGCAAAAACTGTTTGCAGAAACTTTGTGTGCTTGCTCAGACATGTTTCACAAGTTATGACAGGTATAGTGGCTGACTGCGATGGTGGGGCTGGTGTCCTTCAATGTGGCTACTGTGTCCCAGCCAGACAGGGTGCTGAAAACCTGTGAAATAGCCCTAATAGCATGAGACAAAGGGGAAAAATCGCTTCCGATGCTTTTTGCTTGCTGGGATGGATCTACAGATGCAACATGTGTCATGCTCATCTGTGGAGTGTCCTGCTATTCTGTCAAACTGCTGGGAAATGTCACTTAGGGACAGATGCTGCTACATCATATTCTTGTGCAGGGTAAAGAGAGGCTGCATTTACACATGTAGACTAATGCAAATGTTGATTCACAAAGTCAAAGCTACGCTGTAAAGGGTATTGGAGCGCCTCCAGTAATAGGCTATAATAATCACCTTTATTGGCCAAGTATGTTACACACAAAAGGAATTTGTTTCTGGTACAGAACCTAGACAGCCATCTGCGGCACCAAGTCACACCAATGGCTCTAACTCGGGGGTTCAGTGTCTTGCCCAAGGACAGTGACACATGGACTGCAGGCACCGTGATTAGAACCTCCGACCCTGTCCATAATATATCAACACATGCAGTACGTGACTCTCTATTAACAAAGCGTGGATTTTTGAATGCATGTTGTTCGGGGTTCCTCCCCGACATGGGCGGTTACTACCAACGAATCGGTTTATATTCAGCTGCCGGACTTTGTTCGGGGATAGTTCTGCTGCGGACACATCCTCACCGGACTGGAGAAATAAGGTACGTTACCTTGGTTGTTTTACATGAGTTTAGTCCAGTAAGGCTGTTAAAATGAAGCATGACACTAAAATCATGACAGACGACGAGGCCAGCATCTTACTGTGGATATCAATGACAGCGAAGGTGATGTGTGAACATTAATTAAACAAGGAAAACCGCTTTATTTGTGAGAATTTGCTGCTTTTCTGGAGTGATTTCGATTCTTGAAATAAATGCACATAAGGCTACTGTCAGACTGTTGACTATGGTTTAAAAAAAAATTCAAATTGCTTCCTTATTTTATACGTTTGTCTAATTATGCGGCAAACGCCCTGTTAACAGTTTGACAGAATAATAGATAACCCTTGTCAAATGCTGTGTTTAACTAATGCATGACTGGTGATTATTTAATGCATGAATTATTGTAAGATAAATAATTAATTTACCATTAAGAAATTATCAAGTCATTATGACTTTCATCAGTGAAAGAATGTTCACATTCACATTTACTTTATTGATGTGCACCATATTAGCTGCATTCAAGTTCGTTTCTGATGTATGCATTTGACCAGTCTCTCAAAACTGTATTCTAAATAGCATTTTTGTTTTTTCGCTTGTTGCTGCATGGCCTAGTTGTATGACTGTGTATGTATGTACAAACCCCAGTTCCAATGAAGTTGGGGCATTGTGTAAAATGTAAATAAAAACAGAATACATTGACTTGCAAATCCTTTTTGACCCATATTTAATTGAATACACCACAAAGACAAGATATTTAAAGTTCAAACCGATAAACTTTATTTTTTTTCCTCATTAATGTACACACAGCACCCCATATTGACAGAAAAACACAGAATTTGACATTTTTGCAGATTTATTAAAAAAGAAAAACTGAAATATCACATGGTCATAAGTATTCAGACCCTTTGCTCAGTATTTAGTAGAAGCACCCTTTTGAGCTAATACAGCCATGAGTCTTTTGGGGAACTGTCAGGTTTGCCCGGCTGCACCTACTTTCTCACTCCCCTCACTCTGTTTTCACTCCCTTACCCTCATTACGTTATCGTGACTTGCTGAAGCATTTCTTTCTTCACCGGGTCACTTTAGTTAATAGTATTAACACATCATTTTGACATGTTGACGTTATTTTTTGTACAGCTGGAGCCATTTCCACAATTTAAATGTAGTTACATGCTAAAAGAAAAAGTGAAGCCAAACCTTATATGACAGTTTCTTCATACAGTCCTGGTTCTTCATATCATTCAGGTTTAGGGTTGAAATACGTGAAGTAATTCAGCACTGTCACTAATTCACTGCAAAACCACATAGCATGGATGAGGCAATGCTTCAGAGTAAAGACGTACTGAGAGGTGTTTATCAGCGCCTGAGAGGAAAACACTTAAATGTGTAGGTACATCTGAACAAACCTTAGAATTATATACTTAAGAGAAAAATACAATACACTCCTATACAGCACAATTTAGATTGTAACAAATGCAACGAGTTCCTGAGGTAACTGCGCAAAAGGTGAAAATGCCTTTCACACGTGATACGCAAGTGTCTGTTTAGTTGTGCATTTGCAAAACAGCATTCAAGGTGTGATAAGTTAGGTGAATTATTTTGCTGTCCTTGCAAAATAAAACTACCACCGTCTTCACCACAGTAATTTTTTTCCCAGCATTTGCCTCCCTAACCTTTCGTTAGAATATGTTTATTTCATCTCGCATCTGTGTGTTTAAGCAGTTCCATTTCCCCTAAAGGCAATCAATCCACTGTACCTCGAAGTCCCCTCGGACAGACAGAGAGAGCACTGTGTCAGAGATGTGCAAGACTTCTACAATGTCAGGCTTGTTGAGACAGAGTCCAGGCTGATTATTCATATCCTTTAGGTTTGCTGAGGGGAACCGAATTTTGTGGTTGGAAGTAGGGACAAATGTACGGAAGTGGTTTAAGTTACAGAGGTTCAGATTTTTTCCCTGTGTGTGGTGTATTATGTGGAGGGAAAAAATGTCACAGAACCCAAACTGTTGGCACTGTTTTGACTTGAAAAACAAAATTGGTGACCTCTCCACACCCGTGAGACAGAGGGTTTGATTTCCAGTCAGCACCACAACAAGATCAACAAACCTTTGGGGCTTCAGTACACAGCAGATTCCCACTATTTGTACCTCTTTGACAGCATTACTGCAATCCAGAAGTTATGGTACAACACTTGGCGTACCACTGTTTCACTCTGCCCCCCTGCACAAAGAGTTGTGGATTTAGATACACCATGAGCTCACAGTGTTTTGCACAGTGAGTGAAAAATACAGGGTGTATAACTCTGATGCTGGGAGCTGAAGTATGTCATTACTACTTCATTGTTCCCCACACAAAACACACTCACATCCATACATTTTATTGGTGTCCTTCGTGCTACACACACACCCTCCCAGCTGCTGCAGTGAATAATAAACCCCCAAACTCCAAATGCATTTTATCACCCACTGCTAAAACTGAAGTCCCTTTAACCCTCCACTAGTTGTTTTACACAGCAAAATTGGTATTTGTATGGCACACACATAATTGTAGGTTTGCTCGGTAAATCAAGAACTGTGGCAAGCCCTGGGCTCTGAAGACTTTCCTCAAACTATAGCCTTGGGATAGCTATTAATATCCCCTGCAGACACCAGTAAAATGCTGTGCCGTTAAGTTCTGTTACAAGATTCTACAGGAAAAATGTTAAAAAACACACATTTTAGCCCAAAAATGAAAACTGTTGGATGCATTGCTCAAGAGGATCACGACCAAATAAAACAGCATAGTCATTCTGTCTAGACTTTAGCTAAAACAGACATTAGACATTACACATGGAGCTGAACAGTACAGTGTAGTTTTTAGGAGGGAAGAAGAAGTTAACTAGGTCAGTTTCTTTTAAACTGTTTCCTGTAGTTAGAGTGAATTGTTTTTGGACCTGGTTTAAGATGAAGATCAGATGCTGAATATTTATGTATAAAAAAGGCAACAATAACTGAAACATGAGTCCTCCTACACAATCAAATACGGGTGTTGGTCCGAACTCATGCAGAGGCAGAGAGCATGTACACACACACTTGGTCATACATGTAGTAGTTCTCAAGCTTTCATTCTCACTCACTCTTCCCCCTCTTTCTTCCTCCCCCTCACATCTGGACATCTGGCAGAGTAAAGTTCCTGTGTGGTGTGTGTGCACATTAGCAGGGGACTTGGTTTTAGGGTTGGGCAGGTAGAAGCAGCTTACACTGTGCAAATCTGATCCATTCAAGACCTTCATTGTGTTTTACAATGTGAACAAGTTAGACCATCACTACCATCACGAAGATGCTTCTTTGTCTGACTGTTTGAATTGCTAGCATCATTGTGACCTCAGAGTTTCTTATACCCCCTACTCCAATGTTGTAAATATTTATTATTGAAAGGAAAAATGTAGCCTTTGCTATTTTTGATGGGAAATATGGGGGTTAGTTTCACAAAACTTAGCTAGTTTGAATTTAGCACCTTCTTTAGCACCTACTTTAACTAAGGTGTTTAAACTGTAAATGTCAAAAACTTTTGAATATTTAATTAATCATATTACTGCAAACAAATATTGTCAACTGACAAAGTTTGCTTGTCCTTGAGATTCTGTTCCACGATGTCAACCTGGGCCATGTTATCAGGACTAATCTTGCATAATCTCATTTTTGCTCTAACATCAACATTTTTACAAGGGAAACGTGAACACAAATAACTGCAACTAATGAAACAAATGTGTGGTCATTTTCCACAAAAATTCAGCAAAAGTTATGTAGGCAGTGGAGTGACAAAATCAATAATAAAAAGGAAACACATGGGAGGAAGTGTGCCATGAAGTCCGTGAAGTCAAACATTTCTCATGTATTTCCAACCCTAGGACTCTGTTCCGCTTTTATGAATATATTTCCAATATTAGTCTCTCCCTGCTGTGAAACATTTCTTTATTAAGTAAATATCATTATAATTTAATCCATATGTGATACATCTGTCAAGGTCTTGGGATAAATTTCAGTTTCAGGAACTTTGTGCACTTGATGTGATAGAAACAGCAAGAATGTGCCAGGTAGGTTTAAAACGATGAAAGTGCTTAGCTTAGATCTGCTTCAGGATAGATATATGAATTTGTTTATGTTTTAAGGTTGTAATCAAGTCTGTGGTTATTTGGTGGTGTAGCTGTCAAATAGCCTACATCAGGAATGTATGATTAGGTGTAATCAGATAAAATTCTTCTCTAATTCTCTAAAATTCTTCTCTAACACATCATAGATAGCACCCCAGAAGTGTTTCGAAAGAGTGATCTGAATTAGAGTGAAAAACAGGATGCTGAAAAAGAGGCACGACAGATAACTTAGAATTGTGAGCTTGCCCTAATTAATACTAATTCCAGAAATGTGCTGCAAAATACTACAAATCTATTTTTATTGCAGGTTTTGGATCTACAGCAGTACCTCGGCTGTGTCTAGTTTCAAGTGGACAGTGGCAAAGAGGAAGTAACTAAAACTCTTTTGTATTATTGTTGCTGGTGCAAGGTGAAATGAGGGGACATAAAAAAGGAACCTACATATCCAGGATGTGACTTCAAATGATCAACACAGGGCAGTTACACCTAACCTCAACCACACTGAGAAAAACACATTACACAACAGTCTCACTGGGGCACTGGTAATCTCAGGTAATCATCTCATCAACCCACACTTTATAAATTTAGGTGTTTGTTTACTTGGTCTTCTCACTTTGGAATTTCCCATAAGATAAAAGCTCTATCATGTGGCATCTGAAGCAGAGAGAAACTTAGAGTGAGACTTCTTGGAGATGCTAGTCAGATAACATCATAAGCATAACCTTGTAAGTCCAGGGGGCAAACTTAACGTCTGTATATTATATACACATAAAACATCCGCATAGTGCATGCATCTTTGTAATCTATCGCTGAAGCCAAAATAGTTTTGTTATATCTTTAATATTGGATACAGGAGAAGCAATGGTCTTCAAAGGAGGGGCCTGGGTGGTGCCTAGTGCAGGCGATGACGTCACATTTTTAAGGAGTCAGGGATCTGAGCTCCAAAATTTCCACCTCCTATCAGTTGCTTTTGCAGCAGACACGTCCTCGTCGGACCAAAGCTTTCCCAAAGGTACTGCATCTTTGCTATTTTCAGAAACCTTAACTCAGTCACTCTGATAAAACAATCACATATAGTTTAAATAAAACGCATAGCAAACACCTTTATCTGGCATTTCAACCACTTCGTTTCAGTTATTGCTTCCTAAGTAGACAGGTCTTTATCAAGACAGTTCAGAGTCATGATGCTATTTAAGCCTGCATGTCTACAGTAGGATGGATAGGCGACTTGGAGCTGTGGCGTTTAGTAGAGTGATTTTGTTTTCTGACTGATCATAAGCTTGTAAAATATCTACTCATCAAATTCTGTTTCCGTTTTACTTATTGATGTGTGCGCTTTTGCGTGTTGCACAAGGCTTGTGGAGAAAACGTTTTGTATTTCCAGGTATTACTATTCAGCCTCTAAACTGTATTACAACTGTCTTCAAACTTTCTTCAAGCCAAGATTGGACTTATCCGTTCAATTCATTTGTTTGATTCAGTGTGGAAAACAAAGAAACGTTAAAGATGTATCGGGATTTTTTTTAGCTACAAAAAAGAAAAATGTTTTCTTGTTCTCTAATTAAATCATGCAATCTAATAAACAAGAACCAAAAACAAAACAAAATAGTATTAGTAGGCCTATTGTTGTTATTTTTGGCTTTCGTTCACTGTGCGCATGTTGGGCACATCAAACTTGGCTGAAACAACAGCGACGGTCACGCTAGGAAGTCAAGTGTATTAATGACTGAGGAACAAACCCAGGGTCTCACCTTTGGTTGTCCAGAATAACACTGAAAACTTCCAGCTGTGCCTCGTAGACCTAGCCAACTTGTACCATACAGTAACTTCTATTTTTTTATCCACCGCACATGCGCAGGCAGTGAACGTGTGGCAGCTCACGGGAGCGCGCAGAGCGAAAAGTGGAAAGCTTTCATCAGTGATCTGAGTTCCAAAATTTCCACCTCCTAATCAGTTGCTTTTGCAGCTGACACCCCCACCCCCACCCCGGTGAGGAACAGTCATAAACAAAGCTAAATCTGTAGTGCATTTCTAGAACCTATCATTTAGATTATTGAGATTGTAATAAAACATTAATCTCTTGTCTGTTTTCCTATCAGCATTCATTTCTGTTTTTGTTGCAGGTTCTAAGACAATGATGGAGCTAATGACCACGACCCCTTTCTATAGCATCATCAATGCAACAGATTTTACTGGAAGAAATGGCTCTTTGTATGAGGACGATGACGAGTATGACTACAAGGATGATCTTGCTGAGCTGAGGCAGTCTCTCAACATCATGTCTCTCATTGTTTACTGCCTGGCCTTTGTTCTCGGTGTGCTGGGGAATGGAGTGGTTATCTGGGTGACCGGGTTCAAGATGAAGAAAACAGTTAACACTATTTGGTTCCTCAACCTTGCGTGTCTGTGGTTTGGCCTGTCTGGGCTCAGAACCACCGAAATGTACGCAAAGCATCCTGTGTGAGTCTGGGTGTGTGGGTCCTGGCTCTGATTCTCAGTGCTCCATACTTCATCTTCAAAGACACTGAAAGATTCAATAAAGACATCATCATCTGCTACACCAACTATACTCTTTTTGATGACAATGAAAGCTCATCTGTGAATCATCAGGTCATGGCCATGACCCGCTTCCTCCTGGGATTTGTTGTCCCCTTCACTGTCATCGTGTCCTGTTATGCTGTGATAGTCCATCGCCTCAGGAGGAGCCGCACCCTGGGCAGCAAGTCAAGTCGCCCCTTTAAGATCATTGCTGCTGTTATCGCCACCTTTTTTCTGTGCTGGGCTCCTTATCACATTATTTATCTAATTGAGATGATTAACTTCAGCTATACTGACACTGAAACATTACACCATGTGACCACTATCGGGACCCCTATAGTAACCAGCCTGGCCTTTCTTAATAGCTGCCTCAACCCACTCTTGTATGTGTTTATGGGCCAAGATTTCAAGGCTATATTCAAGAGATCCATCCTGAATGTACTGGAGAATGCCCTCCAGGAAGAGGTTTCTCGCAATGACAGAAAGTCAGTGGACACCAGTCAGAGCAATGACAAGTCAGCTCTTAGTACTGAGGTATAAGGTCCTCTATGAAGAAACAAATATTCCATTTGTGCATAGCAAATCATTTCAACAAAAGTGTGTAAATATGCATATCAAATTTTCCATGCACTTTTGTTGTACTTATACAGGTACCCTTGAGATGAGCCTTAAACACCATCCCAGATTGAACCATTTCAGTCTGAATGAGCAATTCATGTGCCGTTTACTGTGTGGTAGGCTAACTGATCAAGTCTATCACCACTTTAATCACAGTGTGTACAATCTGGAGGACAAAAATGAAAATACTATTGTAATAAGTTGTGATGCCTTTTGTGGACTAAGCCTTTACTGAACAAGGCAGTAGTGGAATGTTTTGATCACACAGAGCAAATGGTCCAATTTTTGTCTGCTCTTTGACTC